TTATAATATTATCAGGTTACATGTTACCTGCTTATAATATTATCAGGTTACCTGTTATAATGTTACCTGGTTATAATTTTATCAGGTTACCTGGTTATAATATTATCAGGTTACATGTTACCTGCTTATAATATTATCAGGTTACCTGTTATAATGTTACCTGGTTATAATATTATCAGGTTACATGTTACCTGCATATAATATTATCAGGTTACCTGTTATAATGTTACCTGGTTATAATGTTATCAGGTTACATGTTACCTGGTTATAATATTATCAGGTTACCTGTTATAATGTTACCTGGTTATAATATTATCAGGTTACCTGTTATAATGTTACCTGGTTATAATGTTATCAGGTTACCTGGTTATAATATTATCAGGTTACCTGTTATAATGTTACCTGGTTATAATGTTATCAGGTTACCTGGTTATAATATTATCAGGTTACCTGTTATAATGTTACCTGGTTATAATGTTATCAGGTTACCTGGTTATAATATTATCAGGTTACCTGTTATAATGTTACCTGGTTATAATATGATCAGGTTACCTGTTATAATGTTACCTGGTTATAATATTATCAGGTTACATGTTACCTGCTTATAATATCATCAGGTTACCTGTTATAATGTTACCTGGTCATAATATTATCAGGTTACCTGTTATAATGTTACCTGGTTATAATTTTATCAGGTTACCTGTTATAATGTTACCTGGTTATAATATTATCAGGTTACCTGTTATAATGTTACCTTGTTATAATTTTATCAGGTTACCTGGTTATAATGTGATCAGGTTATCAGGTAACCTTATAACCAGCTAACCTGTAGGTTTGTATTGGTTTGTTTGAATACCTGATCCTTTTTTTGTTCAAACTGTAACATCAGGAAAAAGAGGCGTCTTGTTTTCTGTGGAGATGTATTTACATGATTTCCCACACAGTTTCCTCTGACCTTCTGTTGTTCTTTATTCTTTACTGAAAATACTTTTGAACTTTAAAACACAGTATTAATGTTCCAGAGTTGCACATTTCTCAGTTTTTATTCATGTTTCAGTTTGTTTGGCTGTGTCCCTCATCCAGTCACCTCTCCTTCTCTGATTATAAAAGATTACTTTGTTTTCCAGATGTTCATTCTTGCTGCTCCGTTTCCAGATATGTCTGAAAAGCCTGAACTCTGAGGCCTTCCTCCTGTTGAGGCAAAAACAAATGAAACATTTACATAAAGACACATCGGTACTAAGATTTGACTARGTCGTGGCTAGCCTTTTCYCCAGGGCAGAGATGCSGGAAATAAACAAAGTYGAAACTGTGTGGTCTCGATCTCAGATTATTTAATAGAAAGGTGCATAATGCAAAGAATGAGCAGAGCCAGACWGARYCAAATCGAAYCGTCTGTCAAGCTCTRGCTGACCCGGAAACAGGAAAACAGYCAATATACARACATCCTGCTAACAAAATAAGAGCGTCAGAGATATCCAGGAAACCAATGACATGGTTACAAGTAAATAGGCCATAKGATTACATGAGTACATACAGTATCTTAAGAGTCACGAGAAACAGATTATAWAATGGCAGTTTATCAAGAGATKCAGAACAGGACATGTCAAGGTAATATGCAGTTAGGGAGTCAAGATATTCTTCCACCACAACTACATTCGCATCATTTACATGTTTCTGTGGAGACCAGGATGATTTCCTCTGAAACTCTGTTTCAAAATCATAAAATTCAAATCTGATAAATATGAATACTTAATGAAAAAATGTAAATAATGTCATAATTTAATTTTTTATCTCTCAACAACTTTGTAAACAAACAGCTTTAATGACGCTGATGCTGTTTAAATCATTTGATTTTAAATCATTCTGAGTTTAACGTGGGCTGATTTTACTGGGAAAACTAAAAGGTTTGGTGGGGAGGTCCTGTGGAGACAGGACGTCTGGTGGAACATCAACAACACAGCRTGCTGATTTACACGCAAAGCAAATATTTGGACAAGATCGGACAAGCAGTTCTCTGACACTGTTCCAGGATAATAAAACCTGTTCCAACATGTGAACACAAACAGCAACCAGAAGCTGCAGCCAAGTAAAACCAGAATGAAGCTCTGAGCTGACTTTATYTTATGGTGAACATGATGCAACACCAGTCCAGATATAGCCTTGTTAGTCCAGACTCTTTATTCCAGACCRTTTAGACCAGGGCTATTCAACTCYKGGCCCGCAGGCCACATCCGGCCCGCGAGTGACCAAAGTTCGGCRCGCCAATTGGTTTATTCATCTCTTKAGCCCAAACCCCTGGTTTTCTACTTTAATTACTCTAAGTTCTTTTAGTTAAACAGACATYTTTGYTATCTACAGAAACATCAGAARCTTGGCTACAAGCTGGTAAAAACCATTTCTAWGAACACTCAAGACAATTAAAACTACAAGCAGTTGAAGATAAAATGAAGAAAGTGAAGTTTAAAAATTTGGCAAGTCAGAGATGTCAAAATATTAGTGTCAAATAGGAGTCATAATGTGTTCTTTTTGTTTTTGATAATGTTTAATTATCACTACTTTTATAGGGTTCTGTTGTATTCATGAATAAATACAGTAAAATAAACTATTTCAAAGATAACAGATCTTTGTAATACTTGGTTTATTTACATAATAACTTTAATTTCTGGATGTTCGGCCCCTCAGCTGTTGACCTGCAGTAACTGTGGCTCCCGGAGTAATTTAGTTGAATAGCCCTGCTTTAGACAATTTAGTTTAAACCCTTTAGTT